TTTTGTGCTGCAAGTAGGCCTCTGAGAAATCAACGAAGCCGTGAAATGCGCACATCCGTCCATCCCCTTGATTTTCAACGAAACATTACATGTCCCTTACGTATGCTTTTCACGTCTTCTTGTCTCGAACGTAAATACACCTCAGTAACCCCAGTCTTGGTACTGACGGGGTCCAATTGTGGTAATTGGAGTAAGAAAAGTATACGACTTAATGGACCGAAACACTTCTTATTAAAGGTTAAAAAAAAATATCAGGAGAAGAAGGAAACAATGAAAAGAAGAAAAGAATATTAAGATAGGTAAGGGGTATTAAAAAAATATTTGTTATAGGTAAGAAATGTTTCGGTCCATTAAGTCGCATACATTTCTTACCGTTACCACAACTGGACCTCGTCAATACGACGGTTGTGATAACAAAATAATTTAGTAAGGTATATAAATTAAGATAAAAGCATATAATTCAGAAATCAAAGTAATAGTAGGGAAAAAAGAAAATATGTGGGAAAAAAGGAAAGTATAAAAGTATGTAAGAAAAAGAAAAGGAAAAAGAAGGGCTCGGAGGTAGCTGCAATGGCGGATGACGTGCACGAACAAATGAACCATTGTTATAATCTCAAGTTATAATCTTACCTTCCTTTTCCTTCTTTTTCCCTCATTAACTTTCATTCCTTCTTATTATAACTTCCAAGTACAGATATGAGGAGTAGTGGCCAGTGTTAGTGTTCATATGAAAACTTACTTTAGACGTGGCTTGGCCACTTGCCAGCGACGCAGTTACGTGATCTGGACGTTGTTGGACACCATCCGACCCGCGTCAGCTTCCCCCTTCGCTTTCGTGCCGTAAGTAGCAATCGACGCCCTGTCTCGGGGAGGAACCGCAGAATTAGCGTCCGACGTGATCTGTAAGTAGAATAAACAGCTCGCGAAGTCCACATACTGAGCGCCGACCCCTTCCCCCCTTACGCCACAACCCCAGATCAAAGAAAGCTGTGGCCCAGCACCAACTTTAATTCGCGCTTGGAACGCGAGACTACTGCCGAGGATCACTTATTCTCGTGATTCCAGCAAGGATTCGGGTCTGGCAACCTGCCAAAGGTTTGTAATTTTTGGGTTAATCTTTCCGGCAATTTTTGGGGTGCACCGGCCAGCACCGCGGAGTTGGCGGCTTGGAAGCAGCGGATTGCTAGCACGTGTATCAGGTGCATGTCACAGATTGATTCGAATTGCAACTTCAGTTTCGACAGAGATAGCCAGGAAGAGAAGAGAAACTGCGCATGCTGGTTTGGAACGCAAAGAATCACGGCGGAAGGGAGTTATCGCGTAATAGCGTAATATATCAAATAGTGATTAACGGTTTTTGTTAAAAATAGATTAAAGACCAACCGCGTTACTATGACGCAGTACCCCTGTCCCTGGTTCAAACTTCCCTACCCTCACTGTATTTTCGATTTTTATCCCCTGGGGTATAAAAGCACTCCTCCCCATTGCCAGGACCACCTTTAGCGATCTCCATTACCGACCTCCACTGCGACTTACTGCTATATACTAATGTTCCTATTCTGGGGGAGCTTCGGCTTCCCAGAGCCTCACCTACTTTTTGTATCGTGCCTTTTCACTTTACGGCGTGTTACATACACATATACACTCACTCACACACACACACGCACACACACACACACACACACACACACACACACACACACCTACCCACGGGGTACTCACTAGTCTAAATAAAATAACA